TTTTTTCTGTCTACTCATTCTGAGCGTTATCTACAAACTACTCTCCTTTTCCTCTAACAGTGGACACTTACACTTGTATCATTTACTATTTTCCATAATTCACAGAAGAAATCTGTTTGGATGGAAACTACAACATCTACCATTTTGCACTCTTTAGCTATTCCTGATTTTAAATCCCATGACTAACTCAACTTGAAAAATACTATCACCAAAAAGAGCTTATTATTTCTCCTTCAGTCTGTACAAAATGAACTAAAGAAACAAGCCTAAAGAATGGAGAAATATCTAGTTCACTATAGGTAAGACGACAGAAAATAAGCAAGAAAACACAGTAACATCCCCAAAAGTATTCGAAAGAACATAACATCATTATGGATACAATTTTAAGAATTCCAAAAAATGTTTGAACAGTCAGCATCAATGGACTAAGCAGATAGCCTCTCAGGACAGACAGGTTTGCAAATGAAAAATGACAATACAGGCTGGGCACAGTGGCTCATGCCTGTAATCCCAAAACTTTGGGAGGTCGAGGCAGGCAGATCATGAAGTAAGGAGTTCGAGACCAGCCTGACCAACAAAGTGAAACCCAATCTCTACTAAAAATACAAATTAGTTGGGCGTGGTGGTGAGCACCTGTAATCCCAGCTACTTAGGAGGCTGAGGCAGGAGAATTGCTTGAACCCAGGAGGCAGAGGTTGCAGCGGGCCAAGATCGCGCCACTGCATCCAGCCTGGGCGACAGAGTGAAGTACCATCTCAAAAAAAAAAAAAAAATTACAATACATCGTGACATTAAAACTTGCAAGTACTCAAGAAAATGTTAAGCATTAGAACTAAAGTTTAAACGATGAGTAGTTTTCTTGGCCAAAAGGAAGGATTCCAAAGGATCTCTACCATAAAGCCTTTCTTTAATAGAAAAACCAGCTCTTAACTTCTGATTCAAATTTGAAGCTAATTGCCTCAACAACTTTCTTTTTAAGGATCAGGATAATTCATTTCTAATGTGGCTTCTTATTGACCAAAATATATTCATTTTCATATGACAAAAAGTAAAAAAAAAAAAAACAAACTTAGATTAACAAAATTATAAGATATAGGTCAAACCACTTACCATCCATTTAAAATCATTATTTCCCCTCAGAAAATTGGGGTATCATTTTATATTACAAGAAGCCATGTATGAAAGCATTTTTAATTTCCTGATCATTCATACTTACTTTAAAAGGTTATTCTTGCAGATGGCCAGTTCTAGAAAAACTTATGGTGATTACAAACTGTTAATATGGTCCAACTTTAGAAATGAAACATTTTACACTTGGGTTTTGTTAGCTATAGTTTTCAAAAGCAGAAGCTAAAATTTTCCAGTAATTATGATAACAGTAGATCCAACGATCCCAGTTTCAAACAGAATTTTTTCCTACCTTCACACCAACTGCAACCTCAGTGACAATTCTGCAAAGAAAAAATAAATAGTTTCAACTTCTTGTTATTCTTCTAATCACTCTTTGGCTCTACAACTTTTTAGGATAGTTCATCATTCATGAATCTTCCAGCCACTCACACACAGATGGGGAAATAAAATACCACAGATGGTCAGTGACTTACCTGTACTGTTATCAATCTGGTTTTCTAAAAGTAACTTTCAAACCTGAGGCAAAAATTCAGTAACCTCATGGTATCTTCTGACAACATATTCAATAGCCAAAAGAACAAAACCCAAAACACTATGCCATTTCCACAATGCCAATACACTGAGATTAATAATTTAACGCTTAAACTCTTTAGTAGTTTCCATAGGAACCAGGAATCAGGAAACATGAATTCTGGTGCAAGTTTTGACATCAATTGCCGTGTTGACCTGGGGGGAAAACTGAAATTCTCTGGATCTGTTTCATCTGGAAAATAATCTTAAGGTAACATCTAGGACGATTTGAATTCTGTAAAACTGTGTTAACTTTTATAAAATCTTCTTTATAACATCTTTTAAAAAACACCAAACTCTAGGCGCTTAACCAAATTTTTGATTCTTCAAATACTCACTGATTTTAATAAATGTATTTGCTAAATGATATTATGTTTACACTCCCAAAAGAGCTGCATACTGCTATATTTTCGACCTTAAGCCTGCCCCCTTTCTAACGATGATTTAAATTACTGAGTCTTTTCAGGTGTGAAGCGTGTCAGAGAGACATTGGTCCCTACCATTTCACAGTCTTGCCTCTCACCTCCCTCAGCATTCTGTTTTCACTCAGGTTCGCAAAGATGTAGCATGGTTCTGGGTTTTTGTAGTCATTTTTCCAGAAACTGACCAAAGTAGCTAAAGAGATAGCCCTGTGTTGACTATCTGCTCTTGTTTCTGCCATTGCTGTTGGCCTTTGCCCATGTGACTGATGTCGGCCTCAAACACTTCGCTTTTTAGATGATTTAATTTCTGGGCCCTTTTGCCAAGCCTTGAATGTCTTCAGTCCCCACAAAAAAGCATTTTTCCTCCCTCCCGCCCCCACTACCAGACTCAAATGAAAACAAAGGAGTATGACATCTGCCCTCCCCCTTCCTCCCGCCGCCGCACGCCCTCCCCCCTTCCCCAGCGGCTCCCACTAGGCTTTCCCCGGAGCTCCCGCCACCGGCATCTCTCCCGACCACGGCGGGCCGGGCGAGGCCGGAGAGGCTGCGGACGGCTGGGGTCCACAAGGGGTGGCTCTCTTCTCTTCCCCTAGAGGTTCCCCCACTCCAAAGGCCTGTCTTTGCCCATCCCACTCGCTCTCACAGGCACCGCTAACCCAAGGGTCGGGTCCCAGGGTACGGATCGAAATGGCTCCTAGAGGGGGCAGGGACGGACCGGCGAGACGTTATGGGGTTCCCACCCCATCCCCCGCCGCCAAGCCGGTGCCCGCTCCCACTCCGGGATCCTCACCCCCGCCATCGCCCCAGTGCCTCCCCAGCCTCCAAGCCCGCTTTCTTCTCATTTTCTCGACCAAAGCCCGCCGGGGGAAGCAAAGGGAGGGGTGTGTGCGATGGGGCGGGGGTTGGGTAACGGCAGCCCAGCCCTGGGAGGGGCCGCGGGAGGGTTTCTCCCCGGCCCGGGATAGGGCCGAAGGACGGTCCAACTCCTCTCTCACACACACCTTCTCGCCGGCCCGATTACATACCCGTCCATTGCCGAACCGGACAAAGCTTCGCTCACAAGAACCGAGCCACGCAGCCAGCGAGCCACACAAGCGGCGAGAAAATGGCGGCTGGGGCCCGACGGAAATTGCCGAAGGTGCCGAGGCGCACGGGGCAGCGCGCGGCAGCGGCGGCGGCGGAAAGAGCCGAGCGCGCCGGCGCCCGGCAGCGGGAGGCGAGCGGCGGGGCGCAGGGACTAGGGGGAGTGGGCGCCGCCGCCGACGCCTCCTCCGCGCCTCCGCGCGCCTTCCTCCCTCCGCCCTCCGCCTGCCGCCCTCTGGAACCTGGCCTGCTGCTGCAGACAGCGGCGTTCTGGTTTCCACTCCTTGGGGGGCGTGGGTGGGACACCTCCCAACAGCCCTCCACACTATCTCTTCCCTGACTGCAGGACGGCCCCTAAGCAGCCTCCACTTTTCACTTCACGCCAAGTACCAGCTTGGCTACCGTCAACCTATGCGGCCCAAGGAAAAAACGTTGGATAGCTTTTCTCCTAAGCCATCTTTTATTTGCAGACTGGCTCCGGCCTCTAAAACAAAAATCTTTACCCCACTGAGCAAGACCACTTGGTAACAACAGTACTTTCTCAAGCAAGTAGAACTCCTCAGACTGAAATATAAGGCTTTTGCTTCAAGACCTGTAGTACCAAGCCACGTGGAGGAAAATGTGATCCTCACTTCGGTTGGTGATTAGTGTGCAACTGTAGAAAATATTCACGATACCCGAGGTGGAAATAGACACAAATGGAGCGATGTGTTAAAATGCTACGATAGTTGGAGTTTAACATTTGGAGGCATGAAAGGGAAAGTGGAGATGGGAGTGGGAGCAACTGAGTCTTCAGATTGTTTAGAGAAGGTAGAAGCATTAAAATGGGCTATGCAAATTGACTCCCTTTGCTATATCTTACGGTCTCAATTTTTACTTGATACTATAGTGGACATTTTACTTTAAAGTGTTTTTACCAGAGGCTCAACAAAATTGGGAGAGGCACCTACTTCTTGAAAATCTGCTCAGTGAGTAACGACTTTGCCAGTACCTATCCTTCTCCTGCACCCTTCACCTCCACCCCCAACACACACAAGCACAAAGGCACTTATAATTCTGAAAAATGACAAATACTCCCTGTGTCCCTCCAGTTACTCTCAATACTCTGGGTTTTTCCATATCTTCTTCAGGCAAAGCGCTTATCCTTTACTAATTGGAATTTCACTATACTAAATTATAGTCTATATAATTCTTAAAATACATATATATTTTTGAGTTTCGCTCTTGTTGCCTGGGCTGGAGTGCAATGTCGCGATCTCGGCTAACCGCAACTTCCGCCTCCTGAGGCCGGTCTCGAACTCCGGACCTCAGGTGATCCGCCCTCCTCGGCCTCCCAAAGTGCTAGGGATTACAGCTGTGAGCCACCGCGCCCGGCAGTAAATAATATTACTTTTAAATTGGATAGACCCTTAAAGAGCATTTGTCCAAACACTTTGCTATAGAACTCTTCAAAGCACCCACATTTTTACAAATTATTGATTTGCCTATGGGATTGTCAAAAAAAAAAAAAAAGACCAGGAGCGGTGGCTCACTCCTGTAATGCCAGCACTTTGGGAGGCTGAGGCAAGTGGATCACCTGAGGTTGGGAGTTCAAGACCAGCCTGACCAAAATGGAGAAACCACGTTTCTACTAAAAATACAAAATTAGCCAGGGTGGTGGTGCATGCCTGTAATCCCAGCTACTCGGGAGGCTGAGGCAGGAGAATCGCTTGAACCCAGGAGGCGGAGGTTGCGGTGAGCCGAGATAGTGCCATTGCACTCCAGCCTGGGCAACAAGAGTGAAACTCCGCCTCAAGAAAGAAAACACACACACACACACGTCAAATTTCCTACAATAACCCCCTTCACCTTAAACCTTAAAATAAAGGATCTGTTATTGGTGCCATTAATAATCACTTTTCATATTGTGGTTTCGTACATGTGTTTTCACTCAACACTTAAATATGCAAGCTTCCAAAGGGCAGGAACTATGGTATTAATTCTCGGTATTACTCACATTCGCTTGATCAATATTGATTGATTGGTTCTCACTTTACCTTAGCAAAGACAAACCATTCTATGAGGAGGGAAGCTTGTCCTTAGGCAGCAGAAGAAATTACAGTGTTCACAAAAACACATTTTTCTTTATTTTTTTCCTAATACAGTACAAAACCACAAACATACAATAGTTAATCTCCTTGCTTATTTAAGCTAACACTTTCTTGAAAAAATGCAAGGTGGCCGCGCGCGGTGGCTCAAGCCCGTAATCCCAGCACTTTGGGAGGCCGAGACGGGCGGATCATGAGGTCAGGAGATCGAGACCGTCCTGGCTAACACGGTGAAACCCCGTCTCTACTAAAAAATACAAAAAAACTAGCCGGGCGAAGTGGCGGGCGCCTGTAGTCCCAGCTACTCGGGAGGCTGAGGCAGGAGAATGGCATGAACCCGGGAGGCGGAGCTTGCAGTAAGCCGAGATCGTGCCACTGCACTCCAGCCTGGGCGACAGCACGAGACTCCGTCTCAAAAAAAAAAAGAAAAAGAAAAAAGAAAAGAAAAAATGCAAGGTAATTTACAAGTCAACGCACATAAAGTACTAGATTAAGACATGAAGTGAAATAAGAATAAAACAAGAGGGCAAAGCATAGCATGAGTCAGGAATGAGGCTAATGCAACAGTGTACGCAAAAGCATATTCATTAAAGCCTGTGTTCAGATTTGAGCTCTTTCATTTAATACCTGTGTGACATTAGGCACGTTCATTAACCTCTCCAGGAAACTTTCCTTTGCTGAATATAGGATTAAAAATAGGGCCTTTGGGCCAGGCGCGGTGACTTAGGTATGTAATCACAGCACTTTGCGAGACCAAGGCGGGCAGATCACGAGGTCAGGAGATTGAGACCATCCTGGCCAACATGGTGAAACCCCGTCTCCACTAAATATACAAAAATTAGCCGGGCGTAGTGAAATGTGCCTGTAATCCCAGCTACTCAGGAGGCTGAGGCAGGAGAATAGCTTGAACCAGGGAGTCGGAGGTTGCAGTGAGCCAAGATAGCGCCACTGCACTCCAGCCTGGCGACAGAGCAAGACTCCATCTCAAAAGAAAAAAAAAAAGGAAATAGGGCCTTCATCCTAGATGACTGTGAAGTAAATACCTTAACAGATGTAAGGCACCTCCCTAGATCAGTTAAAAACTTACAGTAAATACTTAGCAAAAAGGGTTATCATCATGCTTATTATTTTTGTTATTACTGTTATTCATTTGAGAAGGAACAGACCACAAATTTGTAGCTTAGATTGTAACAGCCAACAATATTCATAAAAATAAATCTATATAGAGATTTTCACAAAGGTTGTTAAACATGTCACTAAAGTAATAAGATTGGCTAGTATCTACAGGAATAAATCTGGGAAAATGTCATAGATAAATTTCTAAAGCCCTATCCAAATCTAAATCTGTATGATTTTATGAGTTAACCATGGGGTAGATTATTAATCTCAACATTAGCAGATGGCCAGCCTTTGTAATATATGACAAAATTCTATTAGTGTTTATGAATTCCTAACAAAATAAGGCAATAAAAAGTGAAGTGTCTGTACAGTATTATTTTCATACCCATATCTTTTTTCAGTATAACTATTTGTTCTTTCCCATCTGAATGGTAAATGTTTTGACCTTTTATAGAGATTTACACTTATGTGAACGATGATTAAATTTCAGCGTATGCTAGGCCAAAATAAGGACTAATATTTATTCAATAAAAATAGGAAGTAGAATCTGGTTCGTAATGTTCTGATTTTATTCTTAGCCCCACCTCTTGACTGCTTATACTACCAAAGACATCATTTAAATTTTTCATCCTGTAGTTTCTTCATTTGAGAAGAAGGAATAATAATAGGATCAATTAGATAATATTTTACTTTTGAATAGGTGATCAAAATACAAAATAGAGGAGAACACACTCAAAAGACGTGAAATCATATACAACATTTCCAGAAAAGACAAATATGTAGAGATAGAAAGTGAAGAAGTGGTCGCCTAGAGCTGGGAGTGGGAATGGGGAATAACTGTAAATGGGCACAAATTTCTCTTCAGGATGATGGAAATGTTTGAAAACCAGATTGTGGAGATGATGGTACAACTCTGTAAATATATTAAAATTCATTGAATTAAACATTTAATACTGATAAATTTCAGAGGATGTAAATTATATATCAATAAAGCTGCTGTATAGCTACTGACCTGGAGCTTCTTTCACTAATATATAGTTCTCTTCTATATTTGATCTCTGGTTTCCTGGATCCCATATCTTCTTTCTTGATATATTCCCTCACTGGGAATATATCCAATTCTCTTCTGGAGTCTTCCAGAAGGTTCCAGAAAAAAAAAAATCCATAGGAAACTTTTTTTAATATTTTGCATATTTAGAGATATGTTTTATTCTACTTTCACATGTTATTGATAGTTTGGAAAGGAATGCTTTTTTCTCAGTACTGTGCCTGTAAACTTTGTGCTATATCTGCTTGGAGGTGGTGTCAAAAAAATAAAAAGCATATACTTTTCACTCGTGCTCTCCAGCTACTGAGTTCTATGTTCCAGAGGCAAACTATCTTACCAGTTAATTACATACTTTTTAAGAGATGTTCAAAGACATATATTGATTACATATATAGTTTTTCTTTTGATTCAAAATTGGTAACTATTATGCACACTATTCTGTAACATATTTTCAACTTTAAAAATTTACATCTTAGAGATATTTCCTTATCAGTATGTTTAGAGCTGCCTCATCATTTATACACACCTGCATAATACGCCACTGAATAACTAAATCATGATTTATTTATTTTGATCATATTGATGAACATTTAGGTTGCCTCCAATCTTGCTATTTACACACAATTCTGCAATGAATATCCTTGTCTCTAAGATGTTCCCTGCATGTGTGAATATGTCTTCTGGATAAACACTATAAATAAAAATTACTAGATAGGGTTTTTTTTTTTTAAATTTTAAAAGGCTGCCAAGTTGCCTAAATGGGTGTAAAATATTAGCAATTCCTACCATTTAAAAAGGGAAGTGTACTTATTTCTTTAATATATAAGGAGTTCCTACAAATAAAAAATCAAAAGTCAACAATCAAATAGAAAAATAGATAAGCATATAAATAGATTATGACATATTACAGAGAAGTAAAAACAAATATGCTCAGCCTCATTTTAAAGGAATTCAAGGTGAAACTGTACTAAGATACTTTTTTCACTTGTCAACACCCCTTCTAGGCAGACTAGCACAAAGCTTCTGAGTGCAGTACTGGGAAAAAGTATTCCTTTCCAAACTATCAGTAACATATGAAAATAGAATAAACATAACTCTAGATACACAAAATGTCAAAATTTTGTTTTCTATGGCTTTTTTTTATTTGGAATATTCTGGAAGATGTATTTCCCAATGAGGGTAATGTATCAGGAAAGAAGATGTTGAACCCAG